ACAAGGGGAAGTGCCTTCAAGCTTAAAGAGGGTAGATCTAGGTTGGATAAAAGGAAAAAGTCTTTTACAGTGGGGGTGGTGAGGCACTGGCACAAGCTGCCCAGAGATCTGGTTGATGCCCTGTCCCTGGAGACTTTCAAGGCAAGGCTGGACCAGGCCCTGGGCAACCTGATGTAGCTGTGCATGTCCCTGCTCGTTGCAGGGGAGTTGGACTAAATGGCCTTCAGAGGTCCCTTCCAACTGATTCTATGACTCTGTGATTCTAAGAAACTAGAGTAGGGCCTGAAGTAGAACAACTGCTTAACAGAAGTAATATCCATTACAGGACAGGTAAACCTGAACCAAAAGGCGAAATGCAGCAAAGATCTAGACCAGCAAAATGTAACAGAACAAAACAGAAAGACTTGCTTGGATACTGAACTGAACTGATCAAAAGACATAACTAAGATATGCAGAAGTGCATATCCTGCTTATCTACTGCCACCCATAAAGATGAGGTTGAACTGCCTAAGTCCAAATAAAGGCAAAAAGAAGAGATAATGAAAAGCAAGTGGACTGCTTCAGATCTGTCCCATTTCATGGCACCTCATTCTGGCTATTCCAGCCATACTATGATTAGGAACACGGGTCTTGGGAATTTGCCCTAGACTGCAAAACACTTCTCGTTTTGGCATCCTCCAAAGTTCAAATCAGACTTAAAACACATGGAAAAACTTACACTAGAAATAAATGAAAACCACGCTATTTCTCCTAACAACACCAAATATTCTATGTGTATAAACTGAAAACATGACCGAAAAAAGAATGTTGCAATCCAGACCAGAAACTCAAAGCAGAGAATTAACCACATACATACGTAATAGCAGTGAGATCACCCAGCCTGGGAGTACTGAACGTCCCCAGATTAACCTCTCAGGTTTCCCATTCCAACTGTAAAACATGTAGAACAGCGAATTCACAGAACAACCAATGCAGTAATGTATATAAAGGATGTTTACAGAAGAACCGTAAGCAGGGCTGCAGATTAGTGCTAACTGATGAGTCACACGAATATAAACTTTGTATTCGTTTAGCACAAAAATCAGACTGTCAAACACACACAGGGCTCTGAGTTGGGCATCTTTGGTAGTGATGAGTATTTGGAGGCATATCAGGGGATGTAACTTGGGGCAGTAAGCCAGCACTGGCTTTTTACTCCTGTTTCCACTACAGAGTCAACAGCAAAGGAAGCACGGACTGCTGCTGATCTGACATCATACAGCAGTAAGAGGATTGCTTGCTACTTTTGAATTAGTTCTGTTTATTAAATAGACCGAAGGCCCAGAACATCTTATGAATGCCTCATAGCCTGCCTTCCAGGACCACTAGTGGTGATGTGAGACAGCTGCAACCAATCCGGAGTGGTTGGTCAAACAACACCTGGAGTTCACAGCTGAAAAAGAAGGTTCCTTCAGAGATGAGCATAACTCACCCCAGTGGCCTTCAGCACCCCGCAGAGCTGTGCTTCTAAATACAGAAGCTCACTCTTGAGAGCAGCCCTGCAGAGAAGGACTTGGGGGCCCTGGTGGATGAGAAGCTGGACATGAGCCAGCAGTGTGTGCTTGCAGCCTGGAAGGCCAGCTGTGTTCTGGGCTGCATTACAAAAGGGTTGGCCAGCAGGGAGAGGGAGGTGATTGTCCCCCTCTACTCTGCTCTTGTGAGGCCCCATCTGCAGTACTGCATCCAGGCCTGGGGCCCCCAGTACAGGAAGGACGTGGAGCTCTTGGAGTGGGTCCAGAGGAGGGCCACTAAGATAATCAGAGGGCTGGAGCTCTGCTCCTATGAGGAAAGGCTGAGGGAACTGAGATTGTTTAGCTTGGAGAAGAGAAGGCTCCAGGGAGACCTCATTGTGGCCTTCCAGTACTTGAAGGGAGCATATAAACAGGAGGGGGAACAGCTGTTTACAAGGGTGGACAATGATAGGACAAGGGGGAATGGTCTTAAACTGAGGGGAGGTTTAGGTTAGATATTAGGATGGTGATGCACTGGAACAGGTTGCCCAAGGAGGCTGTGGATGCCCATCCCTGGAGGCATTCAAGGCCAGGCTGGATGTGGCTCTGGGCAGCCTGGTCTGGTGGCTGGTGACCCTGCACATAGCAGGGGGTTGAAACTGGATGATCATTGTGGTCATTTTCAACCCAGGCCATTCTATGATTCTATGATTCTTAGCACATTTGCAGAAATGTTACAGGTTATATTCACATTATATATAACTATCATATTCAGAGGAATTATTCCTTTTACCTATAATTTTTAAAAAATATTTCTTACCAATTCTACAAATAACTCACGTTTCAAAATGGAAAATAAAAATGAAACCCCCCCATGCCTACAGACACTTAATCCAATCTAACTACACTGTTCACATTTCCCACTTACCAATTTCCCCAGATCTGCTTAATTTCCTTTTTGTTTCTAGGGAGCACCTAATTGCTTCTGTTCATACACAGAAATTGTAATTGTGGGTTATAATAGATGAAAAAATGATTTTAAATAACTTCTGTTAAGATTTCTTTTTAATTTATGTGAGGTTAAATTTTACTCCTGCTGTTTTAATACCACGGGAGACAAGGGCTGAAGTGAATGTCACCTTTTACTGCAAGCTGAAACAAGCGAGGCATGGAAAGTGAAGCTTTTCTATTGCACAAAGTAGTGCAGGGCATACCTGCTGTTCACACAATTGCTTGCTAATCAGAATTACTGCACTTAACAAGCCACCCTTCCACTATCTAAAGCTGAGAAACGACAGACGCGGTGCCACTCAGCACACCAGCTGTTTATCAGCAAACGTGCCCAACCGAAGGCAATCCAGGAAAAGCCGTGTCGCCATGAGCAACTGCAGGCTCTGACTCACGTTCTGGCACAGCTTCCAGTCACTGAATTCCCGAGAATTCCTCCACATTTCAGAACTGACAAAAGGGAACAGTCATCCAAGGGCATTCCCAAGAACATAAGGGATCAATTTCTCACTCAGGACTTACGCAGGGCAAATTTCCCTCAAGTCAGTGGTGTTTTCCTCTGCCTTTACTCAAAGATCTGTTCTTACCAAGTTTTCAGTAATCAGATGCAGTGCTTGATTTTAAACTGATACTGCATTAAAAACACAACTGCGTCATGAATTATTCCTTTTGATAACTACCTAAACTTCCTGACGTTGGTCTAAAGGTGTTGCTGCCACATCTGCAGGCACCTGGTGTTTGCTACCTGAACTGGCAGATTTCTCCATTACTTGCACTTTGCCACACGTTTCTACAACAAATTTCATCAGCCAACAAAAGCAGTTTTGCTCCAAATTTTTCACTCAGGTTTGACTGAGTGGAAAAAAAATGGAAATTAAAGTCTATGCTGCTTTTTGTTTTTCTTACTAACAAGTATGAAAACTATAAAACACTGGAATTTTTTAAGGAGAGAATTTCATTTCTTCCTAGGAAGAAGTGTCCTAGGGCTGTAGGACACAACTCTTTCTCCAACTAAAGGGTCAAGAACTGCATTTCTGCACATTCCGTTTTTCAGTGTGTAATCACAGAGTATCAATATTACCAAAAAGATGAAATAACAAGTGTACCACAGACCTGCATCTTGGGCAATTGTTCCACCATTTTCTGTCACACGGGGTCTTCCATTTCCATCAAGTTAACTTGTGATTTTATAAATAGCAAAACTAACTGATGATTTTGAGTTGGGTGTTAGGAAAAATTTCTTCTCGGAAACAGTGGTGATGCATTGGAACGGGCTGCGCAGGGAGGTGGCGGAGTCACCAGCCTTGCAGGAGTTCAAGAAAAGGGTCAACGAGGCACTGGGGGATGTGGGCAGCAGGCATGGTGGGGATGGGCTGAAGTTGGACTTGGTGACCATGGAGGTCTTTTCCAACCTCAGTGACACAATCGCATCCAATTTTTGCTTAGTTGAGGTAACAAAACAGTGACTTTCTTTCTATATCCGCCCCTTGAATCAGACGATAACCCAGGCTGGGAGGTCCCGAGCTGCTCAAAGCTGTCCCAGCACTTCATTGTCTTCACAGGGAAAATGTTTCCTTTGCATCCAATCGATTGACACCACCTTCTCAATGGGCTGAAATGAAACCGGTACCTCCGAGCACCTGGGCTTCACGGCTCAGCCTCTGCTACGCGCCTCCTGCGTGTTTCACACCAATTCTTCACCGCGTCTTTGCGGTGACTGCTACCAGAGGTGCTCACACAGAGCTCTGCCCTCCTTCGCACGGCTCGCACCGCTGCTTTGAGCGCTGCCCTCGGGCCTGCGTGCTTACACCGAACCTACAGCGCCCGGGCGTGCACACGCACAGCCTTGCTGAATAATTATATAAGCGCACCCAGACGTGCATTTATTAAGCATCACAAACACGAATCACACGTAACCAGGGCTCCGAGCTCTAGAGCTCAAAGCCTCGTTCCTCCCTTGCCGTCTGAGCAGCCCGGCAGCGATGGGGCCGTGCTGATCACCGACCCGAGGAGCGCGGCAGAACGAACGGCTCCGGCGGCCCAGGGGCTGTGCGGGCGCACCGCTCGCCGCCACCCGCCGCCACCCACGGCACGGACACGCGGCGCGCCGCTTTCCGCCTCCTCCAGCGCCCCTTCCTGCGGCGGCGGGGCACCGACCGGCACGGCGGACCGCCGCCGCCCTGCCTCCCGCGGGGTGGGCGCTGGCCGAGGTGTGTGCGGGGGGTGGGGAAGGGAAGGGAAGGGAAGTCCCCTTCCGCGCCCGGAAATCCCCGCGGCTCCTGCTGGGACGGCGCGGCGCTTTCGCAACGCGGGGCGAACCGCAGCCCCCCGCTCCCTTGTCGCTCTCAGCTCCGCAATCCCCTCCGTCTCCTCCTCACCCCCGGCTCCCAGCCCGGCTCCCCGTGCCGCGGGGTTCCCCCGCTCCGCGCCCGCCTCCCGCTCCGGCCCCTGCGGAGCGCTGCCCGGAGCGCCGCCCGCCCCGCTGCGGGCTTCCCCGCTCCGTAAGCGGCGGCTGGGCGGGACTCGAGGCCTTAAAGGCGGGCGGCTCCTCCTGTGCCGAGGAAGGCGGAAGAGCGAGGCGCCGGCGGCCGCCTCGGTTCTGCCCGCAGGCTGTATGCAGCTGGCCGGGTTACCGCTCGCCCCGGAGGACGGAGAGAAGGGGCGGCGGAGCGAGAAGAGCCCGTCCCCCGTCATGTGCTCGGTGAGCGAGGCCGGCAGCACCGACCCGCTGGTGGCCCGCTTCAGGCAGGTGGAGGAAACGCTGGAAAAGCTGCACCGGGAGAACAGGAGCCTGAAGAGCAAAGTGCCCCGCTACAACGCGCTCTGCACGCTGTACCACGAGTCCGCCCAGCAGCTGAAGCACCTCCAGCTGCAGCTCGCCGCCAAGGAAGCCACGGTGCGGGAGCTGCGGGGCAGCCTGGCCCGGCAACAGCAGCAGGCGGGGGCCGGCGAGGCGGGGGCCGAGCCCGCCCGCTCGCTGGTGGAGAGCCTGCTGGAGCAGCTGGAGCAGGCCCGGGAGCGACTGCGGGACAGCGAGCGGCTCTCGGCAATCAGAGTGGAGGCGCTGAGCCAGGTGAGGGGCGAGCCGTGCGGGGCGGGGGGCTCGGGGCTGGCAGGCGGTCCCGAGGGATGCGCGACGGGATGGGCGCTGCCCGCGGGATCGCGCGACGTGAGGATGCGCTGCGGACACGTAGCGAGGCGCTGCGAGCCTTCGCATAGCTGTACTTGCAAGCAGAACAGAAATAGTTGAAATGTGGAAATTCTGTATTGCTTAACTCAAGGACGGGCTGAGAGCTGGGGCTGCTCGGCCTGGAGAAGAGAAGGCTCCGGGGAGACCTGAGAGCGGCCCTTCAGGGGGTATGAGATGGAAGGGGACAGATTCCAGCAGGGTCTGTTGGGATGGGACAAGGGGAAGTGGTTTCAAACTAAAAGAGGGGAGATTTAGATGAGATATAAGGCAACAAGTTTTTCTACAGTAGTGGTGCTGAGGCACTGGAACAGGTTTTCCGGCTCTGCTGGATGTGCCTCCCTGGACACAGCCACGGCATGCTCTGAGCACCTGCTGGAGCTGTGTGGCTCTGTGCATCGCAGGGCAGTTGGACCAGTTTGGCCTATAAGGCTCCCTTCCAAGCCTAAAGATTGTATGAACTTCTTGCACCAGATGAAGTGGAAAGAGATGTACAAATGAAGTACAAACGATGGGTAACACCGCTTTCTCCATTATTTTTGTGAAAGCAATGGCTGGTGCTGTATTGACAATGAGAGCACTTCAGATTTAGGTTTGCACTCTGCATGGTGATGAGGCGGACTGGGGGAGATGGGATGTCTTTTCAGATGCAGCACGGAGCTGTGCCCCCTCCCACCCCCAGGCACTGTTTCTGGGGCTGTCACTAAGACTTTCCCATGCTCAGCCTAAGAATGCTTGAAGAATTTCTAAGCGTTTCTTTCTATATGAAGCCATATAAGGGAGGAATTTCCAAACTAAGAAGCAGTACTTAAAATTGAAACAAGTGTTTTTGTCATAAGCCCTCTCTTGACCTAATGTTTATACAAAACGTTTTCTACATATGACGCTCACCTAAAATGCATGTAAATGTGTTCAGGTCTGGAAATTCGTAGTAAGAAATGATCTTAGTGGCACTTGAAGGTGGGATCCAAATACATTCTGAAGCCTGATGCTGAATGCCTTTAATCTGTAGCAAAGGGGAAATTCAGCACAGTGTGAAAGAATGTAAATGTTAGTAATGAGTGCTGTTTCTGTAAGTTAGACTGAAAATTATTTCTTTCAGATATAAGTGTTTTATTTCTAATCCAAGATACGGAAATCAATGCCACTAAAAATAAAAACAAAAAAGACTGTCTGAAGTCATTGGCCCGTGTGGTGGCGGTGCTTCCTCTGACTTCAGCGCTCCTGAAGAACTGGGGGAGTCAAGCTTGACTGCTTGCTCAGTGTTTGTGCTGGCACCCAGGGCAGCACCAGCTCTGCAGAGGTCTGGCACCCACTGGCATCCTTTCCTTTTTGAGGACGATGGGCACAGGCTGCTTCTGGCAAAGTCAGGACTGATGTACTATGGATGCCTGCTACCTGCGTGTGGTCACACCTGTCTGTAAGCTGCCTTCTTCCTTCTCAGGGAACCTAGATTAGATGCTAACTTGCTGCAATGCGGATGACCCACAGTCTTGATTCAACAAGAATGTGCAGCAATGGGATACATGTTTGTTTTATAAGAGTATGCCAGGAGTCAGCTATGTTGGAGTCAGCTATTGCCAATAGTTATTGCTGCCACAAGGATTTAACTTTCTGTTTGCTTGTCCTTTCCTAGGTGGGAGAGCTGCTGCTCTGATTTGCCGTTATCTCTGTTCCAGGCAATAAGGATGCTTGGTTTTTGTTAAGATGACTCACTGGGTCCAATTTTTTTTTTTTTTTGAGGCAAATCTCTACTAGCAGTCTGGTCATTTAGAATGCAGGACTAGTAAGCGTTTCTCAGTCACCACAATTACTACTTTTAAACTCTATGCTTCTTGTAAGTTTCGTCTTTGGTTTGTAGTGCTGTAAGTGGGTTTCATAAACTCTTGGCACATTTTTGCATGTTTTTGTTTTCTTCATTGTGCTGACCAGGAAGTGCTTGGATGGCTGCCTGGGCAGTTCCTGATTCTGACTGAGTGACTGATCTGTCAGTTCTAAGGTTGAGCGTTTATTTAGAAATGGATTTATTTTTACCTTTTAAGTACTTTGCAGGGAGTATAGGAGCAGTATGGAACTTCTGCAATCTAAAACTCTATCTTATGCTTTGGCTTTTGTGTTCACTTCGCTTTAAATAACTTCCTCCTCCCTTATGTTTAGGAAGTGCAGAAGTTGAATCAGCAGCTAGAGGAGAAAAACGCAGAGATAGAGAAGATGATAAATCAGCCTCCATATGAAAAGGAGAGAGAAATCTTACGACTTCAGAAGAGCTTGGCAGAGCGAGAGAAGGCTCAGGCCACCAGCGATGTTCTGTGCCGGTCACTCACCGATGAAACCCATCAACTTCAACGCAAATTAGCATCCACAGCAGAAATGTGTCAACATCTGGCAAAATGTTTAGAAGAGAAGCAAAGAAAAGAGAAGGGGAATTTGGATGACCAGATTGCCACTGAAAGATCTAATCAGGTATTTTTACAGCTGCTATGTTTTGTGCGTGTACTGCCAGCTTCTGAGGTATAACTATTGTATTATAACCAATAATTAGGGAGCAGTGAGAAACATGGCTTCAGATAACTTTGCCATTATAGTCTTTTCACCACGCAATCTCTAAAGAAGTGATTGCTGTAAGTTGAGGGTTGAAGCAATTGTCAGTCACTTGGGTTCTGGCTGTCTCATTTATCTCTGACTTTTTTTTTTTGAGATGATGTGAAGAGGGCATTTATAACCTCAGCAGCTCCCTGATTGCAATTCTTGCCTGCATGTACAGCAGGCGGATACCTTCCTGAGACTGAAGAACATGTGCATCACTAGATGGTGCTGTGTTTTTGAAGGTGATATGTGATGACTGCTGTCAGCATCTAAGTCACAAAATAAAGAATAATTTTTTTAAAGTAGTATTTCTATTAACAACTCTACGGCACGTGGCTTTGCATGAGTAGTACAGAGCTACAGAAAGTTGGTTAGGAAAGAGCAGGTCAAAATGTCTTACCTATTTTTGCTCTGGGGTTCCCCTTTGCCCTCCCACTCTAATGCTTCTCTCCAGCAGGCGTGTTTAGACAAAGTGCTTCATGAGAGAAAAGGGGCAGAAATGTTCCTGGTGGGGGTGGTGCAAACACCTGGATTTTGTCACACAGTGTTGTGGCTTTACAACATCGTCACCTTAGTTGAAGCTTTTCAGCATAGGGTAAAGTGTTGTTCCACTCTTCCAGAAATCATGGTGGGTTGCAATGATGAAGTAATTCATGAAAATACCATAAGTGAGTAAAATCAGAGGTGCTGCCTATAAAACCAGATGAGATGAGTACGATGCCATAGCACTGCATGGCATATATCGTTCTGTCACATGATTTTATAATGTAGTGGTAAGGCTGTGTCTCAGATGATCGTGGACCAATGCTTCTGTGATGCATACATACATACATACATACACAGGTCACTTCCACTCAGTTGAACACGCAAGGAGCACTTCTAAAGGAAACTTAATCACATTAAAACTACGTCTAAGAAACAGATAGAGGTGGGTTGGTATAAGACTATATATGGGACTTGAAACTTCCAGTATTCTTATACTTGGTATAATTGATAGGCAGGAAACTTGATTGACTTTGATGTATGTAATAACTAGCTAACCTTGTCCAGCGGGGACTTCCCTGTTGAAGAGAAATTTCAGAGGCAAGTACTAGCTGATTCTAGGGAATTTTGTACAAAAGTATTCTATATTACTCACATGCACTGGGGTTTTTTTTAAAGCAGATGTCACAAGTGTAAAAAAAAAAAAAACAAACTGGTATCCTTTCAGTCAACTTAGAAATTACTATTAAAAAAGCTGCTTACTTTCTCATAGCAGCCAAAATCGACAGTAATGGCAGAGCAAGATGAAGACATGTATGCAGCCTTGTCATGCATTTCCCCCACTCCAAATACATAATTTGCAATAACTTCATGCATAACTTAAACTGCCAAGTGCTGTTGTCAGCACTGTAGGCCCTTTGGCACGGGAGGTGTGTTATTGGCCTTGTTGCTTTAGGAGGCTTAGAGTGCAGTGTGATTTGATGAGACCACACAGACGTACTTAAAAGCAGTACTGAGGTAGTAAAAAAAAAAACTGATTAATTGTGCTTATTAAGATGAAAAGCTGTAAGCTATCCTCTTAGTATGTATGTATTTGTGTTACTGATAGTAAGTACTTATAAAAGAAATTACCTCCAGTTTAACAGCATAGCTAAATAACACTTTTTATCTGAAAGTTACAGGTATTTGACAATGAAACTTCACTTCAAGCCCTTATCTGCAAACTACAAGATGAAAACAGAATGTTAAAACAAAAAGTAGCCCACGTGAGTACTTCATTTTGTACAAAATAAAAATGTCATTATTTTGACTTTGGATTAACTAGGTGCTACCCATTCCAAACTTATAGGCCAGCTTAATGCTGTTCCCAGATTGTTTTAGTCCTTTCAGTGTGGCAGTCTTTGTTCTCTTGGCCAAGTACAGCTTATTATGTTATTTTAAATCTATTTTTGTTGTTAAAAGTACACTGCAGAACGAAATGGCTTTCTTGTTCCTTCCCTGCATCAGTATTCCACTCCAGAAGAACGGCACTAGTCCAAGGGTGACTACCAACCCTTCCCATTCCATATGATTTAATACTGTTTCTATGACTTGGCAGAGGGAAGACTCAGCTTATAGCATAATGACCTTCCACTCTCCCATGGAATAGCTCATCGATACACAATGGTTGAGTCAGCATATTATATACTACATATGTAGAGAAATTAGGCTCCTGCCCATTTAGACAATCTATGAAAGCTTGGAAGTTTGCTTCCAGTCTTCGTGTTGTGATGCTATGGGTGGTCTTTCAGGTGGAAGACTTGAATGCAAAATGGCAGAAGTACGATGCTAGTAGAGATGAGTATGTGAAGCGACTCCACTTGCAGCTGAAAGAGCTGAAGTCACAGCTGGAGCAGCAGCACAGCACACCTTCAGCACAAACCAATTCTGAGCTGATGCAAAAGGAGATCCTCCGGCTGAACAAGCTGCTGGAAGAAAAAATGAATGAGTGCAAAAAATCAAGGAGAGAATTAGAAGATGTGAAGAAGGCTAGAGAAGGAGATAATGAGCGCATACAAATGCTGGAGCAACAGGTTATTTAATTTTCCCCTAGATTTGGGAGTTCTTTCTTTCTATCCAGACCTCAAATCTTTTCCTTTTGCCACTTGTCTTGCTACTTAACAACACTTGGAAAAAGAAATCCTACTTAAAGAATTACATGCAGTTCTGCTGCCATTACAATATTATTTTTATTTTTTACAAGATATTACAAAAATCCAAGATGTAAAAAAGAAAAACTGCCTTTAAAGCAAAGATATGATAGAAATGAACATTCTGAGATTTGGGAAATAAGTGCTTTCAAAGAATCTCAGCCTCAACTATTTAATCTCACCTGCCATACTCTTAGTAAAATATTAACAATTCTTTTTCAGGTCCTCGTTTATAAAGATGACTTCACATCAGAGAGATCAGACAGGGAACGAGCACAGAGTAAAATACAAGAACTGCAGCTAGAAGTTTCATGTCTGCAACATCAGCTAGCAAGAAGACAAGAAGGCAAGAAGGTAAACAAGCAATACAACAGTTTTTTCAAATAAGAAAATCTCATCTACAGTGTACTTTTAAGAAAACATTTTTAAAAAATCTTAGTACTTCTAAAACCATTTCAGTTCAGTGCAGCTATCACAAACCATTGCTTTGTAGTCTTGTTTTGTAGTAGAAATGCATCCCACTACATATCTCTTTCCAGCTCATTTTTCCTCTTTTCATTGACCACAGTAATTGTGAATTGTTATAAGGAAGACAGGGAAAATTGACTTTTGTAACAGCGGTGTCTTTAAAGCATCATGCCAGCTCTGTCCTGTTTTCTACAAGACTGCTTGACTTTTTCTTAATAAAACTTAAATGTCACCTATTCTATTTCCAAATCTGCAGCTAAAGACATACACCATGTTTCAGATTAAGGTGGTAAAGTTATTTTGGAGATATACTCTTACTACTTTTTTTTTCAAGAGCTCTTCTTTCTCTTTCTAGGACTCCAGAGACACAAGTAGTCGTTTCAGAGTTCACACTGGTAACCAAAATCAAATGCATGTACAGACAAAAGTTGAACACCTACGAGGCAGCAGCCCAGGCCAACCAGGTGCAAGAAGAACAGCCTCACAGTCTGAACAGACTTCCCCACCTGCAGACAATGGGAACTCAGGATCAGAGGGCAGGGCACAAGGTGAACTTAGATGTCCTCACTGTATGAGATTTTTCAGTGATGAACTCAGTGATGAATTTCTCAAGCACGTTACGGAATGTTGCCAATGACAATGTGATGTAAGGCACATAAATCAATCACTACTCTACAGACAGTAAAACTTGGCCCATCTCCTATAGTCCTAAACCAGAGTAATTCAAATGGACAGCTCTTAGGAAATAGGAGGATGAACAGCATCTACCTCTTATTTGATTTCACCTTCTTGTGGACTGTATGAAAGACTTTGAGAAAAAGCAAAATGTTTTTGTGAAGAATTTAACAACTGCAAGCAACACAAGCATAATGCAAATTCTACAACAAACTAAAGAAAACAAAATGTAGTGGTAGCTGGCTTCAGAACAGTCTGAAGGCTTGTGGATAGAGTGTCACAGAACTTGAAAACATCATTCTCTTCCAAACAGCACATGCTGAAGAATGCAGGAGGAACAGTTTGGCATAAGAAAAATCTTCTTGTACTTTATCTGGATTTAAAGTGAAAGTATTTTCTTGGAGATCGAAGCTGAACTTTCAACCATCCTACCTGAAAATCCTTGTGTTCAACTAAAATCAGGAGAAGTAAAAAAAATAAAAATAAAAAAAAAAAGTCAAGGGCTGGTTATTGACTAACACTAGCCTGTCTCTTTGCACAGAAACAATGTACAGGGATATTTATTTTTTTCTGTGCCATAAATAATTTACATGTTTGCAAAGGTATTTGTATAATTATTGACTGTATTCCAATTTTACTTAAGTATTTTTATAATAAAAGTGGTTGTGCAGTTGCTTTACTGTAGTAGCAGTCAGAACTATCTTTTAGAGTATTTAAATGTAAAGTAGCCACTAAGTAACAGACTAACTAAATGTCATGGTTTCAGGTATGAGTTATTCCGTTCCTGCAGTGATAACCAGTGTCTCAAACTATATTCAAATATGTTGAAAATAACTCATTTCAGAGGACAAATGACATTTCAGACGCATGAGAATACATTTAATGCCCTACCCTGCTGCACAACATTTGTGGCTATGCCATTGCTAGCTTCATTTTTTTCGTGTCTACACTGGAGCCAGGCCCTCAGCTGTATGAGGAAGTTGTTTTGAGAAGAAAGATTAGACATAACAATGTCTACACACTGGGACTGGAGGGTTTTTCTCAGCCATAACTCCCAGTATTTTTTTAATAGGTCAGGGCTGGATGGTGTGCAGACAAATATACTAAAGAAATCCACCCACCTTACTTTAACACCGCCATCTTCTGCTTTGCTTCCTTTTCTGTAGTGCACTTGAAGAGGACTGTGCATTTGCTCAGTCGATGTTTGTATTATTTTTTTCTCCCCCCCTGCTTCCAGTAATTGCTAGGATTTCCTATAGCATCAACTATCCCTTGATCTCCCATATAGAAGTTTCTCCTGCTGAACAGCAGCTTGCTAGGAGTTAAGTCCAGTCTCCAATTTATTTTTCCATGCAGCACTGAATTTTCATCAGTTTTCCTCTCTGTTTCCAAGTAGTTTCAACATAATATAAGTGAACAAAGTGTTCCTTGCTGTGATCCAGGTCCACAAAGAATGAGAGGAAATGGTACACTCCTCTTTCCCCAACATACACAATGAAGCACCACAGTAGTGCTGTCTATATGATTAACATCGGGATGGTTACAGAACAGCTGGAACAACTAGAACTACACAAAGGGAAAGCTGCTCTCCTTGGATGAGAGGGAAAGAAATTTCCCTTCTTTGGGACAGCAGTAGTTCATCTCATGGCCTGAAGCCAATCCTTGAGCAAGACATGTAAGAAATTCTGATGAATAGTTAAAGACAGAACTATCTTCTCTAAGCAAATCTTAATTCTACTTTTTCCACAATTCTTTTACAGCCCAAAGGGAGATGATGATTTCTGCCAATATTGCCTTATTGCACTTATCAGAAAAAGACACATGGACTGTCACAGGCAGTGTGCAGGTGCAATGTTTTTATTGCTGACCTACTCTTTAACTAATTGTAAGCCCATGATTGCTAGTTTGATTTTCCCATCTCAGCATACATAAATGTGCAGAGATTTTTCTTTTTTTTTTTTTTAGGGTGACCATTTTAAACATTGCCTTTTAAGGTCTCAGAGATCAGATGCAGCACACAGAATATATGCTGAGAAAAATATGATTAAACTTCCTGTGGCATAAGCTAATCTCTCAATGATTAGTTTATTTCTTTTGCCTACTGTCTCATTAGAAAAACCTTGTTTATGGTTTTAAAGTACATTAATGCTGCCCTCTGGGTATGCTTGGACAGACTGAACTACAACTATTAGATATGGAGAGAAGAATTAGATACAGGAAGCTGCAGTACACAGGAATCAACAGAAGATATCCTTGATATTCTCATTGTTTCAAGGCCTGTAAATTAGTTCCCTCCCTGTCAAAGCAGAGGTTGGAATGCAAATCCTGGAACAGGAGGATTCAGGTGAAATGACTGGTGGGAAACTGGATATACCTACAAAGAGGTCCAGCAAATACAGACAGATGAAGTTATAGATCAAGCATAGGTTACAGCAAGTCGCTTACAACCTAAAGCTACACAACAAAACACTGAAATTTGAATACCAGCATCAAAAATCCAGCTACATTCCAGCATAAAAATACCTCAGCTTTGGGGCTATTTTACTACTTCCTATTTTCCTCCATCTCTAGTAAAAAGAACCTTACCTATTTCTCTGTCTTTGTGCTAACCAAGAAACCAATTAGACACTGTAAAACTAAACTACCAGCGTCTTCTACAACTGTTTGATTCAGACTATAAGGCAGGCGTTATCTGTCCTAAAAAAGCTGTTACCCAGTGCTTTGCCCTCTCCTCAGCAAGCACAGCATACACATCAGTACTTCCCAAGCAATTCCAAACAACGCCTACTTTCACAGTGCAGGTTCCTCAAACTGTAGGCTGGAATGTATAAGAACCATCAGCTCCACTGCCCCAGTGTTAAGTAAAAGCAGCCATGAATTCACAATGTTGTTGAACCCTTTACATTAAGGAAAGTTCCTTTGGCCTCATGCAGTTTTTTTCTCTGCCACTTGGACTGCTGTCCATGTAGGGTGCATCTTGTTTGGTCAAATGGTGAAAGCAATGCAGCTTCTTTCCCAAAAGAAAGCAATGACAGTGCATGAGTAAGAAAGGAACTGCGTAAAATGAAAGCAACTTGAACAGCATAAACTTTATGAACTTTCATTAGCCATTTGTACGACATATGTTCACTGAAAACACATTTGTAAAATTGCACAGACTCTTGAAACCATGCAGAAAGTCTGCATGACCATATGGGACTCAGTTCCTTATTTACTGCATCAGTTGCAAAGGCATCCAACGTAACCAAACCCCATTATCAGGCCCATTCTGATTTCTGTCCGTCTCTCGGCACTGATGAGCAGTACCCTCACTCGAGAGGCAGAGCAGTACTAAAAGGCAGGCAGATGTACCCCTGTAGGTCTGTGGAGTCTGGAAGGAGACAAGTAACTGTTTCCTCTAGGCCTTGTACGAATGTGCTATCACACAGAGATGCCTGGGTGCATTTGTCCAACTACCTTCATGATTAAGACCATCTCTTCTCCTAGAATTGTTCCCTCTTTAGAATCATCCTCCTCAAATTTTGCTCTCCAGAGCAGCACGAGTTCAGAGCTAGGACTGGCTCAGGGCTGCTGAGCAGCTCTCTCACTAGCAATGTTTTCAGACCACAGATTCTGTCCGAGTGCTGGCAAGTTAGTCTTCATGGCTGCTGGATTTAATGATATCATATTTAGGATGGGATTTTAAAGTAAATGATGTTTACTTACAATGCCAGACTATGCGGGTTGTCATGCAGAAATAGTACCTTAGCACATTATCATGACAGCAACTGTAGGCAAGAGTGACTCACTGAATCACAGAAGAGACAACTGGGAGAAAGCTCAGCAGTGAGTCCTCACCCCAAAAACCCCAAGAGAGAGAAGATCAACAATAAAGTTGCCTTCTGCAGCACACTAGTACAGAACTACAGAACCAAGAGCCTAAAAATCCTCTCATTTTTCAGCAACGATAAGCAATGTGTTTCACTCTCAAATGATTTACAGGGCATCAGATCTTTTAAAACAAGCCTTAAATGATGGCCCAAGATTAAGTGCTCACTAATGATAAAACCAATGAAGAATAAAATTTGTTCAAGAAGATACCTATGTTCTATGGCTGTTTTTTTTTTTTTTTTAACTTCTATTTCCTGTGGCTTTGCTGCATGTGTATATATAGAAAGCAAGGGAAATTCCAAACAGCATGCCACACCATCGTACTCAGAACAGCAGTGCTTCTGATTCTAAAAAAGAGAAGTCTCAAATTCTTTTTCTATAAAATCAATGTGAATTCAAAGTGTGTTGTAGTAAAATTTCTTAGTAGCATGCTCCAGTAGCAATCAGCCTGTGAGTTTCAGCTAGAAATCTAAACCATGAGAAATACCTACACATTATTAGGTCAAAGCAGCAAAGCAGAGATATGAGTTTAAGCAGCTCTCACTGTTGCTGTGTGCTCTGGCTTCTCACCTGCATCTCACATCCCCAGCTAAGGGCAGTGCCCAGCTGAGCTCAATCACTGCAGCTTTCCAGGCACATGCTGCCTGGGGGTGTCAGAGCTCCAGGAAGGTCAGGAGAGTTTCTGAAGCTGCTTCAGTGGATGTTCAAGGCACCAAGGTTCAAAAATGGCTCTGAGCCATCTGCACCTGTGCAGAGGTACTGGTGTGTCTCTGTTCCTGATGTCATTCAGTGTGGTCTCTCCTTTTCTCATTCTTACATCCACTTTTACCTCCTCTTTTTACATTTATGGGTGAGAAGCCATTGGTGAAAGAACCTTTCATGACACATTCTAGTTGTCCAGTGTCTATAACGGCTGCTGACCTCCCTCAGGAGCTTGTGGTATTACCACAGCACAGCAAGCACTGGACCAGTGGGGAGTTATGAGAAAGCTTATTTCTAGAAAGCATTAAAAAACAAACCAACAAAAACATAGAATTAGAAGCACATGATTAGCTTAAAGGCACTTGTTCCCCAAGCCAGTTCCTAGCATCAACCCAGGGACCAGGCCAGGCGACGAGCAGGACGACGCTGACTGCTCATGCTGCCACCCACCCACTCAGTGCCACACCAACGCATCCGATCTCTTTGCTAAATCTGTAATGACACAAAAAGCATCTCCTCCCCCCTCCAAGAGGCATCGTACCATCTTGGCTATATCACAGGCAGCTTTCACAGGTGGAACACGTGTTATGAGGTGAACCCTGCATTGGCCCCACCAAGTCTCCTCGTGGTTGAGGGACCAGCCTGTGCCTGGCTCCAGCTGTGCCCCCGCAGCCCTCCCCAGTCAGAGCCAGCTGCAATTCCCCCACAGCAGCCATCTGCACCAGCCACCTGGGTCCCCAGCCCAGAGAAGCAAGGTGATGCTCACAAAGCAAGGCCATGCTATAGGGCAGGGCCTCACCTTCCTCCAGACACAGTTGAGCCCCTCTCACCTGCTCCATGTCTCCTTGGAGCAAGGCACTGAAGCACATAAGAGAGGGGAACAAGTGAAGAAAGGAGCTCAGCCACCCACAGCCCTCACCCCCACCATCACTTCTAAAAGAAGATCAGGCATCCACACAGGCATGCCCATGGACAATTGAACATCATCTACCAAGAGACAGGAAAACTAGGCAGGGCATAAGACCACAAGTGGAGATCAAGTTTAATGGCTCTCAGCATGGTGTACCCACTCCTGCAAGGCCTGGTCGTGCCTCACCGAGTGACAAGGACAGAGCTTTCCTAAGTGCCACCCTCTGCAATGACTTGCAGGTGACAACCAGACACTCCCAGATAGGGATGGGGATCTTCTGTTCCCTCTACCAAGAGCAGCCCTAGTCTGAGCCCTACACTGGAGTAGTGTTAAACCTACCAGCAGGAACATGTTACCTGTAGATGCACAAACTGCACACATTTTAGTAACAGTTATTTGAGTGTTGACTCCCCTCTGCACTGCTAGAGACATGCAGCAAGCCCCTGAGGAGAACTGGTGCCTAGAAAACAGGAGCCAGAACAGTTCCCATCCTTAACAGCATTCAGTTGCACAAGACCACCTCTAACCTTCATGTCACAGTGGGACAGTCCCAGAGCCAAAAGATGACAGCAGAGGTGCTGGAGTTCACCCAGCCAGAGTGTTACTTACAACATAGTAAGCCTCCCCTAAAACAAGTACTTTCCATGCAAGTAAACAATGCACCTAACCAGCATCTGCTATACATGTGGTGGGAACTAAGGATGTGTTTTCAACCTCTCCCCATGTTCCCAGCTCACCTGGGCATGGCAGTGGGGAAGGTCTCCGTCCTGGAAACAGCTCTCCAGGGACACACATCCTCTGCTATGAGGTGGGCAAAACCTACCCTGGGAGGCACAGCCTGTATCTGGATATCTGAATCAAACAGATGCCCACTGTGAATGGCTAGGATGATTCTCTGAGTGAGGGATGTGTCCCCTGTCCCCAGCAAGGAGGCCGGGATGTGCGGGAAGACAGTGCTTTGCTGCAGCACTCTGCAGAGCAGGGATATCATAAGAAACAAGAGTACGTACAAGGTATGCCTATATCAAGGTGTAAATGGTATTAAAACTTTCATTTATCAGCTGCAGGAGTCCTCATTGACTACAATTACAGAATTCAATTAAAAAAACCAACAACTCAGTGACCTACTCTAGTGCTCTTAATTGCTCTTAGAACAATAATCCTGCAGTTACCAGCATTCATTTGTTCAGGATCCTCTTGGCTGGGTGAGCATGTTGTGCAGGGAAGAGGTACAAGAGTCTAGAACATGTAGAGACCCTGCTAAGATGAGTTCTGGCCTCCTGAGAGAGCAAGCACAACCCAGAAGAGCAGCACCGATCAGTGTCCCAGACAGGAAGCACCTGTAACTGTGAGATGAGGCCTAGCTTCAGAAATGAAAAACAGTCCTCTGAAGAGTAGGTGATGGGATGAAAATGAAAAACATGGCACCACAGAGGAGGGAGAGAGGAATGCAATGGCTTGAAATCAGGCAAGAAGGACATGTGCACAAGTCTGGTGCTTGTGCAAAGACAAAAAGGGAATTTAGTCTTTAGTTTTCCATCTTCTCAGTGCCAGTCTTCTGTCACTGGAAGAGAGATTCCAAAACTGTTCCAGGTGTTGTGCTGGGAATAATAGGCGTCCTCTGACACCTGAAAACTACTATGTGCAAGGTAGGAATTCATCTCTGCAGAGAGGACAACTCTGCAACACCCTGCATTGCACCCACTGCCTGCCGTGCCATAGAGCAGAGCCAGTCTGCGAAGGAGAATATGGTGAAGCTTGCTTGAAAGAGACAGCAAGACAAGCAGGTGACACTGAGACAAGGCAGTGGGACCACAGCACAGTGCTTTAAAGGCAGCTCTGTACACTAAGTCATCTTTTTAGATGAATCTCTGTGGCTGACATGAGGAGCCAGTGTGGGGTGCAGGCAGGCTTCCCCCTCCCACACAAGATCCATCCTTTGATAACCAGACGTGGAATCCCCTAAACTAGCTGCAGTGGCAGCTCCTGGGAAGGCTCAGCATGCAGTGGAAAAAATTGATTAGCACAGCCACCACCACCCCAAGAATGACTGGCAACTGATTTTATGAACTCTTCTGAGGCTTTGTTGTGTTGCACTTACATACCCTTTGCACAGTGATGTTCCCCTCCCACAGAATGTCAAAGGCTTCAGCTCCTAAGAATAACCATTCAGGGCAAAAATAGCATGTGCTGTGCAGTGCTCCCATGCAGGGTGCACTTCACCGGTCTCACCATTCTCCTGAACTCAGGATTTGGATCATCTAGCCCTATATTCCCATCTCCCACTGGTGGCATCTCCTTTCTCAGGTAGTTTTATCTTTGTGGTTTCCAGGTGACTCTTTCAGGGAAAGTTTACTGGAGCTCCGTCCTTCCTGAAACAGCAGCAAAACTGAATAACCACATCCTCTTAGCACAGCCGAGGAACTTCAAAAGTGCAGTATTGCAAAACAGTGTGGGGACACACTCCCTTCTGCCTCTGCTATACTCTTGCATGCACTAATATCAGTTGCTGCACATGGTGCAGCAATAAGATATTGAGAAATACTTAAGCAGTAAAACCAGTTCTCACAGGCTGAGTGCTGCTTTTTTCCCCCTCCTTGCAGTCAGCTTTGGAGGGAATCCCTGCAAAGATTCTTTGCTGAGAGTATTTGCAAGTATTTCTATTTTGCTGCAATAGTTTAAAAACAAATACTCAGAATAAATAACTTCTAATAGGGAAGTTTCTTCCCTAATGAAAGGAGTACATAATGCCCCCAAGCACCTAGAGAAAAGGATCCCCATAAATAAGAAGCTAGGTTTGTGTACTTAGAGTGGTTCTTCTGCATCTTGGAGCAGTTGGTCTTCAACATAGTGTTAATATTGCTATAAGGCTTCATACTAAGTGGTTAAGGTTTGACTGGACTTGGAAAATCAAATTCCATTTTCCTCCTGTACTGTACAGCTTTCAACTCAAGGAAAACACATGACTGAGATTCGTTTGAGTGCTGAGCTTCATGACAAACACAAAAGCATCCAGCAGTTCTTATAGAGAGTGTGATAACAGAAGTCAGAACAAGCTTTGTGCAAATACTGCAACTACTTTGATGCATTTTCAGTGAAACAACCCTATGATTTGACTGAGAAAAGTCCTCAACTGAGCATGCCAAAAACTTGAGTTTTGTGCCACCTGTGTTGCCACTGCATAGAGTGAAGCTACATGCTCTGCTGGGGCTCCTCTTCCCACAGGTCTTAAGCAAGCTATGTTTTTCCTCCTCGCAGCAGACACTGAACAAGCAAGCTGTGAGATGTGGTTCTGCACCCAAGCCATCCCAGTCAGCTTTTGCGACTATCAGCAAGTAGTCACATCCACCTGCACCTTCAGGCAGTTGCAGATTCCATGTGGCCAGCTTGAAGAGGCTATTTCTGAAGCTTGATGCACCACTGCTGTTTAAGGCCATACCAATGTTTGGGGTTATGTACTTGAATAACTACAATGATCGTTCTGTGCAGAGCAACTTTTAAGTACCCCGAGAACCTCTGAAAGCTACGCTGATTGAAAACCCCAGATACAGAACAAGAACACCTCCAGCATGGCCAACACCATCCCATGCCTTGTTTGCCTGGAACAGGCTGTGGTTCAGAAGCAGCTGTCCCATATCAACATCTCATTAACCTGTAGTTCTAAATAGGTGTTGCTTTGAAAAGCAAAAGTTCAACCACTGAAGAGTTCAGAGAGCAACTTGTAACAGCCTTTCAGTGCATCAAGCCAGCACCACCTCTAGTTTCACCATTGCATTGGAGTTAATTAGAGTAGTTGCAGCTGTACAAGCTATTACTTAAGCATGAAGAGTCTGATCTATAGAAGAGGCTTAGAGCTGAGGCAGTTAACAAGTTCAGCTGTCAGTGTAAGCAGTTCAGGTGCCTTTTGGTGGAAAGCCAGAATCTCTGTGAAGCAAGAACCACAGAGCATGGGTTCAGAAGATGGCAACTTCTACTCATGTCTGCAACCTAGGATTTCCACTCCAGCCCTTTGCAAGTGATAAGTCAAATACAAAAGAGGGTAATACAAACACACCAAAAGGTTATAAAAGTTCACTGATGTGAAAAGCTAGGCTGACTGTGAAGAAAAAAAATTTTTTTTTAAGGAAATAAGCAGTGTAATAGTTTTCAGGTATTTCTTAAAGTAATATTGGAAAAATTTGTTGCATGCAAAGAGAGTGATAGGAATTGAACTTCACAGAAAAGGTCAGTGGCACAGAGCCAGCATCAAAGTAAAATACAGAAGGAAAGTTACTGGAACTTCTGACTGAAGACAGCAGGCCTGAATGCGAATAATTTTTTTAAAATTAAATTTATGACTGCCAGAATCCATGGCAAATTTGCAAAAACACTGAATAGTTGGGCAGAAGGAAGGAAGGTTGGAAGGAAACTCTGCAAATGGTTTAAATCCAGCCCCATGCCAAAATAGGCTCACCTACAGCAGGTCACCAAGGGCTGCAGCCAGCTTGGTTTTGATCATCCTCATTTGTCTGGCTCATGTTCAACCAAAAACATCCAAACAACAAAGCACAAAACAAAATAAAATGAAGCACCTGCTGATTTCAGTGAATTGTTATGCTTTAAAAACAATAAATAACAGACCTATTTTCTCTCCTTTACCCAGACCTCATCCTGAGAGAGATTTGTTTATTCAACTGCCACACACAACATTCAAGACCTACAAATAAATACACATACTATGGACATACAGAGGAGATACCTAAAACCTCAGCTGAAACAGAACCCCAAAATTACACAGTTACAAAAGGAATCAGTGCATAACAATCAGAAAAATGGCTTCTTTGGCATAGTTTCCAAGACAAACACTACTTCAAGCACTTGTAAGAATCATGACACTGCCCATTGCTGGCAGGGGTGGACAGTGAAGAGAAAAATAAACCCTCCACTTTTTTTTTTTTTTTACACTAAATAAATTCCTCAATGCACAGACTTGTTTAGAAAACCCAGCTAACAGACTGGTTCAAAGAGAGAGCCTTGAAACCCTCTAATACCTTGGGTCCCCAAATTACAGCAAGGTAAAACCCTAACAGTATGTTTTCACTATAAATCTCTGTCCTTACTGCATTTTTTTAAAGCAGTTATCCTTTGTTTTCTGACTTCACAGTCTGTAGCTTCTGTATTTTTTGCATTTTTTGAAGGTTTTATGGTAAACCTGGGGTACTGCAACTATTTCCATTTGTTTGTTGTGTCTGATTTCCTCACTACTCTACTGGATGATATTTCTAAAATTGTCCTTTGTCGTTGCTCTCCCACTTTGTGAACACTATGAATCACACCAGATCATGTGCAAACTAGTGGGCGATAACAAAAATCCCTTACACTTGTTGTCAGTTTTTGTAGTATTCCCCATCGGTATTAAGATGTTGATGCAATTCCTTTGTTCATCAAGGTGAGGAAATAGCAGCATTGACTAAGACCATGCAGTCACCTTGGAAACTCTCACATGACTTTGCAAGTGCATCATGAACACGGCCTTGCAGCCTGAATGCTTTTCCCAGACTGCACGGAGGTGACCCAGTGATGCTGATCTTTGTCTAACTCAGAAACTAGAACTGCCCTGGTTTTCTAATCTAGAATCTGAAGTGCCAATACTTACAGTGAAGGAAGGAAGGGTGTTGCTCAGCACCAATGTTACTGAACTGCTGAGTGTAATGACAGATAAATATAATTGTAATGAACTTGTATGTGTTCATTTGAATCTTATTTGGGTGCATATTACATTTAGGATTAAACTGAAAGAGGAAGAAGCTGGACTCTAACCAAGGGAAAACTATTGATACCTCATAAAAGAAACGTACAACAACACTGCCTCCTTTGCATCTGTGAGCTGTTAACAGCACTTAAACAACAAGTGAAAGTGATAATGGAGGAGCACGAGTTTAAACTAGGGAGTCTTGGGATAAATTAATTTTTCCAAATGGCCGTGCTGCTACTATTCATCACGAAAGCACATATGAGAAGCTGGTTAAATGTTTTGAATTCTCAAACATACATGGTCTTGCTTGGGAAGCAATAGAGGACAGATGAAACTCCAGAAGATCAAAAAGGACAAACATCTCTAAAAGAAAGAAAAAAATCGGCTAGCTTCAAATCCCTTACCTCCAGAAAAGAGCAAGCACATGAAATCAAGTACCTACCTGACAGCGAGGAAGTGGTTTATTCTTTACAAATCCATGCTGGCAGCTACTCATGATCAAACTGATAGTTTCCTCCTTTTACAGAATAGTAACTGCTAAGGACAGGAAAAGAACAGCTATAATAGAATCATAGAATCATGAGACAGAGTGTCCATACCTTCTCGACATGGCATTTTCCATAAGTCAACTGAGAAAAGTACTACCTTGAGGTGTGCAAACACCAATCAATTGAAGAATATATCATCTAAAGATGATGACTTAAAGATTGATCCTAGATCAAATACACAAATATTTCCATTACCACCAATGGAGCTAGGTCAGACATATTAAAATTCACATGCAGATCTCCAGCTAGAGGAAACTGCTAGCACACAGTTGACAAAACAGAACGGCTTTGGCAAACTGGACAGCTGGTTTGAAAAATACTAACAATTCATCAAGGACAATGCAATGTTAGGTAACTTCGGGACTCATTAATTGCATAAACACAGGACAAGGAATCATTAACAGGGCAATTCCTTAGAGCAGCTCAGAGGCTTGAATGAGTCACGGATTGCTGTAAATAAGTCAGACATCAAACTGCAGAAAACAAACAAGAGCTTTGTAAGCTGGATATGAAGAAATCCCTCTGTGCTACATAGCATTAGCAAAGTGCAGTTTCACTGCGCTTTGAAACCTCTACATAAGAAAAACATGGGGAAAACAGACAAAAGAACAAGGGAGCTTTTAAGGAAAAGATTAGAAACTACGACAACAGGTCAGAAGACTTAGGAAAGCCCGGCTGTACCCTTGTCGAAGGCATGGAAGCTACAGTCTCCTTCCAGCCCAGCAAATTTCATCAGCTTTCCCAATTAGAAAACTCCTTGCAGTCTTCCCAGGAAAATTTTCTCTTTCCTGCCATTGCTCAGGATCTACGTCCCTTCTCTAGGAAGGATGTGAAGCCCCATGCCAGCTGGCAGCCCTGATGTGCTCTGCAGGAGCATCTCCAAGCCCAGTTCAGGCACTCCCAGGATTGGAGAAATCCCTCCCTCCATTTCACTTGACACCAAGCACAGCAGCTCCTTGCTGTTACCCCACCCTTCTTAGACATGGCATGCATCACACAGCACTCCTGTACCGAACTCGAAGGAAGCCAGGCCATGCATTGCCTCCCATGCTTGCTCACAGCACTGCCCACAATGCATCATCCAAATCCACATATGCAAGTTAACACAACAGCACACGTGCACGTTTGCATCTGGTGCCAGGGCATAAACCTTTTCTGCTGTAGGGCACTACTGTGGCCAGCAGGCAGCTCAGGGATGCCTTTTGGTTCAGTTCTGAACTTATCACCACTGATAGGCACAGGAAGGAATGTCAGCGTGGCTCTCCCAACTCCCTGGTTCACATGAGCTTTCTTTTGGCTTTTCTCCTGGCAGAGCCAACAGTTTAACTGAGGTTAAGTTTCAATAAATGTTTTTGTTCTTCTTGATCAGGTGAAACTAACTTCACAAAACCTCACAAGTATCTCCAGTCCTGGCATTTTTAGTTATTTCAAATATCTAACCCTGTTTTAATTGCTTCCTTAAATACTGCAATTTGAAAATGACTTGGTTCCACGTTCTGCAAATTGCCTGCCTAAGAGCTGGGAAGCTGTGCTTCCTCATATAAAATACAGAGGAACATTTTGTATCACCACGCACTACTCAGGACTTCCAGCGAAGTAACTTCCTTATTTGCCTGAACTGAATAAAAGACAGGGAAGGTTGCTCTTTCAGCCTCCCCAAGCTTCCAGCTGTGCAGACCTAAGTCATTCCTCTGATGCATGCTTCAAGAAGCTGAATCCCTTCTGACAGCTATTCTGCTCCTCTTTGCAGCCACCTCTTTCCTTCTCCACATACCTAGGCTGAGCCTTTTATTTCTTTTCTCTTGGCCCTTGCACAAGACACCACCACCTTTGGGTGGACAGATATGTGAACACCTACTGTACATGCAGAGTCAGCTGTAGCACCCTCCTATCAGTTTTCATCTTCCTTCTTATTGACACTCTGGCAGTGAAGTCATCTTAATAACTTGGATTGAGCTTTAATCAACACTGGTGACTAATGCAAGACAATAGGAGTGAAAAAGTACACTCCCTATGATTTCTCTTTTCTAGACTGAACAAGTTCAGCTCTCTCAGCCTGTCTCCACAGGAGAGATGCTTCAGCCCTTTGATAGTCTTTTTAGCCTTCTTCCATACCTGCTCAAACAGCTCCATATTCTCCTTGTTCTTGAGGTCCGAGACCTGGAGACAGTACTCCAGATGGGGTCTCATGATGGCAGAGTAGAAGAGGACAATCCCCTCCCCTTCCTTGCTAGCTACCCCTCTTTTGATGCAGCCCAGGATACTGTTGGCCTTCCAAGCTGCAAAAGCATACTCCTCATCAACCAACACCTCACGTCCTTCTCTTCAGGGCTGCTCTCAACCTAACCTCTGCCCAGCATGTATTTGTGCTTGGTATTGCTCGACTCAGGTATTGCCTGACTTTGCACTTGTCCTTGTTGAACTTCACTTCTCAAATCAGCTAATGCCCCTCTGGAAGGCATGACATTCCTCCAGTGGCAACTGCACCACACAGCTTGGTGCTGACAACTTTGAGACTGCATTCAATCTCACTTTCCATGTCGCCAGCAAAGACATTAAAACAGTGGCTGTTCCAACACTGACTCCTGAGGAAATGCCACTCATCACTGGTCTCCACTTGGACCATCTGGTCAATTCCTTTTCCACTGAGTGGTCCATCCATCAAATCCACGTCTCTCCAATTTAAAGACATTGATGTCATGCAGGACAGTGCCAAACACTTGGCATAAGTCCAACTGGATAACATCCATTGCTTTTGCCTTACGCCATGCTATAATCCTGTCATAGAAGGCCACCAAATTTGTCAGGTGCAATTTGCCATTAGGGAAGCCATGTTGACTGTCAGTCATGTTTGTTTTCCATGTGCCTTAGCAGTGTTCAGGAGGAATGCCAGAGAAAATCATCCAAGAAAACAATGAGTAAAAGCAGGTGAAATAGAGGGAAACACAACATGCATTTGCCTCAGCCCCAATACGTGACTCTACAGACGCATCAGAGTGGATAGAAGGTGACAGAGCTCTTCAGAAATCCAAGTCAAGTGCTGTAGACTGAAGTCTCTCTCTTTTTTTTTTTTTAATGTGCTGTTTCAAAACAAGGCTCTGTATAAATAAGTTATCTTTTACTAGCCTGTTATTTGTAAAGGATATAAAAATGAAAGGTTTCAGAAATAAGACCAGCATTCTTTAGAACTCATTAAGATTCTATAGAAATTCATGAAAAGCTTCAGCCATAGCACTGATGACATCCTCCTGCTGTTAGCTTCCAGAGCTCTGCTCAACACCTGCATTTCTTGGTGGATTCTGACATTTTTGTAGTAGCCTTTTTGTAGTTTTTGTATGATCGAGAATGTATAAGCACATAACACTGACATACCAAGTCTTATGTTTTCACCTTCCTATAGAAGAGAGCAGTGCGAGCCAATGGCAGAATTCCTCAATTGCTGCAAAAGTCATGGCAGTTTGCATCCTTTAAGTCTGCATTTGGGAAGGCTTTTGAAATCAGATTTCTCATGCAGCACAGATCAGATTGCCAGCATCAGCTTCCTGTTTTCTTAAGCTCTTTTCTTCTTAAAATCAAAACTATTTTTTCCTAAAAAAAAAAGAAAAAGGCAATTTTATTTTTGTAGTCAGGCGAATTATCAGAACTCTGAAGAATGAGTCAAGTATCCTCCTTTGAAATCAAAAAAGGAACATAAACATTTTTAGGGAAGATTTTCCCCTCCTTTGCTCAGAAACTGGGAAGGGATAGAGGAAAAAGCTGAAAATGAGCACGTATGGATCTGAAGGTAATGGATACTGTAACTTATAATAATAACAATATAAAGACATCTTCTCCCTCACTAGTAAATCACCTTTAGAAAAACCACAGATCCATGTCTGAACTGTTATCTACTGGGATTTCCTTCCACTGTAAGTCTAAACTAGTACTCAGAGGAAGAATATCTGTCATGAGCCATTCCAGGAAATGCTACATCCTTTGCCATTTCAAGATCTGAGTTCTAAGCTCCCTGAAGATATCAAGGCAGGGATCAGATGCCACTGCAAGAAAAGTGGAGTGCGGAATTGTCAGGAAAGGGTCAGAGTTGGAAGCCAAAGACAATGTGGCAAGCTGTAAATCCATTTCTTATTGCTAACTTGGATCACATTCTAATAAATGAGATACAGACAACACAAAGCACACAAAAAGGGAACTAAACAGAAACATATACGGAAAGGTTGCCAAACAAAGACTAAATAAGCTCAGCCTTTTTAGGTAGGAAGAGAGATGACTGATGCCCTAAGTTATAAAAGCATGAGTAAACAAGAAGGTAAATAGAGGATTATTAGTCATTGGCTTTCATAATGACAGAATTTGGCATCCACTGGAAAAAAACTCCACATAATTACTGCATGAAAAGGATTAGATTTAGGAATTCACTGCAGCAGGATGTTTGGAGTAGCAAAAGGAAGAGTAGTGTGAAAAATGAATAGATGAATTGAAGGAAGAAAGGATTTTAAGCACAAGTGAGGATGCATCATCTGTCTGAGGAAGTCCCTCAGCCACTAACTGAAGAAAAACAGCAGGGAATCCTCAGGGAAGCTATATTAGTAACAGGGCAAATAGTCCTCTCCATGTTATTCATTACTGGCCTCTGCCAGAGGCTGAGCCCTAGGACCTTTATCAAGGATTGCCCCTTTGACAACTGTACATTAGCATGCACAGAAAGGGAGCAATGCTCCGTACTGCTTTTTGTTTCTGGGAGGTTCCTACTGCAAGATCAAGGACTCCGGCTGGGGATTTGTGTAATTAATTTTAATTCTGCTCATTCTAACAAGATCAGAATATCTGGAAAACTGATAGAACAAAAGTCAGATTAGTAGATCACTTAAGTCACTCTTACAATCATGAATTATCTGCTAGTGCACGTATAGCAACAACCACTTGAAAGACAAAGTGAAATTGCCAAGAGTTTGATGTTACAAAATACCTTTATGGATCCAGATACCCCTACTCAATTTTTCCCAGAATATGCACCAAAAAGGGCAATCCAGGCAGCAATTCCACTGAATGGATAGATATGCCTATGGTACAAAGCAAGAAGATAGTTGGCTTCTTGCATTTATTTACACTGCTTTCTTCTCTTAAATTACTCCCACGAATTATAAAACATCTGAAAGAGTAACAATTAGATTGTTATTTAATTGCAAGACACCTTCAGCTTGTCTGTTCAGGAGAAGTAAATGTGTTTGTTCAGTAGTGGATCCCAGTATACCACCAACACAACTATACAGTAGCCTAAAACTCAAGTTTTCTGTTTCAATTTTTTTTTTGAGAGACCTTTTTGAGCAAGACATTCTAACTGACTTGCAACAAACACACCAGTGAGCACAGAATTTGGTGAAAGTATTAGAAATGCCCTTTACAATAGGTAGACTCAACTACAATCTGACAATGCACTTTGATTTGGCTGACAGACAGAATAGCAATTCAAGATACCTGTGGTGCCACACGTCACCCTCCACCCACCTGGGAGATATGTTAGTCTCTCTGAATAGACCAGAGCAACGTAAATTTGAATTTTTAGCATCTCCCCCACATCCTCCACCCCCAGGATTTTTTCTCTGAATGCCCACTGCATGACCTGGAGGAAGATGCATGTTTTGTGGTTTCCTACTGCCACAGCAAAATGAAATTCCCTTCGGTTAACCACCTGCCAGCTCTAGATCATGGCATTTACTTCAAAACCCATGCAGACAGTATAACTGTCCTAGAACTTAGTCCACAAGATACCACTGTTGGAGATCTGTTACTTATAAAAATTCAGTGACATTGTACCAATTTTTGCGAGCAAAAGTCACTTTCTGGAGTTATTTGGACTTGCTTCCCCTCCCCCATTTTATCAGGGTAATTTTGAACATGACCATGCAAGAGAACTGAACATTCACTTCCTCCTCTAGCTTGCTGAAATTCCCTGATTTCATCACACATAGCATGCTGCAGAGCCTAAGGACACTGCACAGGAAGCTGAGAAACACACTTTTTAAACCAGAGCCAAAGAATAACAGCTGCACGGGAAAGTCTGATATATGCTTTGCTGTAACTTATTCAAACAAGTTTTGCAAATAACCATGACCCAGGGGGCACATGCACACAAGAACACCTCAATTTATCATGAAACTTGGGCTGACAGAAGCAATTCCTGCTGGCAGCTATGAACTTCTCCTAGAACATCACGTTTTTAAACTTGTCACATCACAAAACTTGATGCAACAGAGAAACTCACCGTGTCTTATCTAATATTTGACTAGGGGTTACAAACCATTCCAGGAATGAAACAAAAGTGTTAAGAGTCCTGTTAATCACTGAGATACCATAATGCTTAAGTGTTACTTAAAGGAGGACATATTGCATGTTTATAATGAATAGTTTAGCAAGTCCTCCAAGAAGTGACAATAAGAATCACCTCAGGTGACTTGCCTCAGTACTGACCCTTGAGAAACCAATAACACCAGGAACCTAAGTTGTGAAATTAAGGGTGAAGACATACACCTCTTCCTCAGCCTCATTTAAACAACTTTAAACACACTGGCCTAATGCATCTGAAGAGGAGGAGCAAATCTTCAGGTGTTAAGTTAAAGCAAACTACCAGCCACATTAATCTCTTGCAGAAATGCCAACTTTTTCTGTTATTGCATTGCTGCCTACCAGCACAGTTCTGCTTGCTTCTACGCTGAGAGCAGCCAGAATCAAAATCACAGCCCCATTACTGGGAACTGCAAACATACAGTGTTACTTACAGCTTCTCATTTCCATTTGGAGTCCATCTTATGGACTCCAAATCCATCTTATGGACTCCAAAGAGCATCCATAAATGCACCAGACTACCTAACATTGCTGGGCACGTTCGCTCATTCATTCAAAGAACCAACCAAGCCATTCTCTCTCCCTGGACTCCTCTAACCGTACAGGAACAGGAAAGGATTTCTCACATTTCCTTGACAGAAACATGGAAGCGTCATACCAATTTACTCCTGAGATAAAAGTGCCAATGTCCAAAATAAAAAGCAGTGGCTGCATGCTAAAAGCTGTTACAAAACCATCAGCGTTAAAGTAACCCTTAAGGGCTGGCGTCACCGCATAACCAAGAGGACTCAGAAGCAGTGTGGAAATTCCATCCTTAAGTCATCAAATGCGACATCCTCTGGCAGTTTTCATCACTAGTACATCACGTCAAAAAAAATCTTTCATCTTGCAGTGTGGCCTCTTTTATGGCTTGTTACTTGAATATTACGTATGCAGTTTTTTCTAGCTTAATGTGCAGCCAGAGGGCTACGACTTTTTTTTTTTTTTCAAGTAGATTTTCAAATTCTTTTGGGTTTTCCCCCTTGTCTCCCCATCCAACTGCTGCAGTCTGTACCTGCGGTCAGAGCTGCTGTGTGCTAGACGTTATCTCGCAGTCACGCAACCAGGGCTCTGCCTTATCTCACAGCCATTTGGGGCACATTGTCCATCCTGAACAGGTTCCTTATACTGCTTGTCCCCCAGCCACCAGGCCTATGCCAGAAGCTTACAAACAATGGTGGCTGCTCTTGTTATTTTTAGTAGGCAACCCATGAACCACAAGCAGGTTCCTGATTGTGTTTCTGAGCCCTAGAGACACACAGTGGTGGAAAGGCTTTGGAGAGACAGGACAGTGTTGAAGCAGTGCATGGACAAAAGAGAAGTGACCACACCTGACAATTTACACTGTATCAAAACACCACTTTGCCATAATAGTCTCTTCTTTCTCCCTCTCCAGCCTGCTTGAAATACTTTCAAACAATTCCCCTCTTGACTCTGGCACAAGCCACCTGTCCAAAACAGAAATATACACAGCAGCAAACATCAACGCTGCAAAAATTCAAGGGGAAGGATGAGGTAGAGAAGATCAGAATGACAATCTCCTTACATGCAATATCACCTAAACTTCTTCACTCTGTCACGATAGTTCTAAAGCATGAAATCCAAGTGGTTTTTGTCCTTTTCCTTACCTGCAGGAAAGAGGTTGAAACTTTGGAGCCTTTGGAAGATGCTGACTGATAAGTGTGGGGACCCCAGCGCAGGCATCACACATGGGTGAGCTTCCACCTGCAGGCATGGGGACACAACAGCAACGTGGTGGGTGCAGTTCCTGTGTATTGACAACAGCCATGTTCAGACCTGCTCCACATCCACACAAATTCTGACAGACAGCCACTGTTACAACCTCCTGGAGCAGGGGGAATGGGGCTTCCTTAGCCATCAACTAAGCCCTACATAAAATGCAGTACAGCAATCAGACCTAAAGAGATTATAAGAAAGGTATGAATTGCTATAGGAAATAAATACTAACTAGTAGAAGTAGTAATTGACTATTTTGCCAACCAACACCAGAAGCAGAATTTGACTCTTCACTTATTATTACAAATCTTGAGCCTAATTATTCCCAACAATGAATTGCAAAAGAGTAGAGCTGGAAAACCTCAGATAAACCTGAGGAGTCTGAGCCAACCAAATTAAACAAAAGGAACTGCACAGGAAAAGACGCTTCCAACAAGATGCAGCGTCACACAAACCCACGGATT